CGGATCCCATATAGAGACTGGTCCGCTCACTGGTTGAGCGCGGTGCGGGAGCGACAACGAGTGTTGCGATCCCGTTACCGGTCACAAAAAAAGACAAAAAGGAAAAAAATAAATAAATAAATAAGGTTATAATCTTACCAAAGGTGTTATAATGTATAATATTAGTAAAAACAGAAAATAAATTTTGCAAATTTGTACATTTTTGGAAGTCCAAATTTAATGGAATTATATTACAGCTTAACAGAATTTTTACTTAATATTATGCCATGTTTAGTTTCACTACTTGACACCTTCATCCAAAATAAAAGGAGACGAGCAAGAAAACATCTTGATAAACAACTCATCCCACTTCTTTTTCTTACTGAGATCAATTTCAGTATGAAGTTAGAGGCAACATATTTTATTTCTCCTTTTGACAGTGACAGGAGATAGTAACACTGTTTTAATGGACTGAATAGAGAACTCAGGGGATAGGCATTTTATAGACTATACGAATAACCCTACCTGGAAGGTTACCCTTTGAAATGGTATCTGTGTCCAAATTGTAGGTGTCCTGGAGACGCAACAGAGCTTTGGCTGCCCCAACCTGATCTTCATCATTAGGAAAGTACTGTCTCTGAATGGTTAGGTTAGAGATAAAGCCTTGAAGCAGAAGGAAAGAAAAAAAAGGATTTTTCAAAATTTTATCATCATTTTCCACCATACCATGAAAGTTCCACATGATCAACAAGGAAAAATTAGATACATTGAATGAAATTTGACATATCTTGTTCAAATGTTGCTTAAATAATCTGAGGTCATCACATAAATTTTATCTGTATTAGTAGGCAAAGATCAACTAACATCGTAATTGAGTTTTTAGTTACACAACATAGCAAGAAAACAAAAAGTGCCTCCACTAAGCTTGAGAAATGAACAGCTTTATGGATTTGAAAGTGACATTTATTGGCACCCATACTGATTATACTTTCAGGTAACAGCTGATAAGTAAAATATGTGCTCTTAAAGTTCTGTTTTCTTCTTGCATGTACCACACGTTATATAAATATGTAAATATATAGTTTGGTGGAATTCTTTGAGGGGAAGGAAGAGATGTTAATTATATATTTAAGATCAACAGCTTAGTTTATTAAAATATATTTAGATCTGTTTAATTATCAAATATAGTGTTCATCAATCAAGGTTTGCTATATATAAAACCTAACCATAATTTAAAGAGGATTTGTATAAAATATAGCAAAAATCAAAGTAGCAAACCAATTACTGAAAACTATATAACCCCTAAGGAGAATGGATGCTAAATATTTCTTAAGAACCCCCCCCAAAAAACACTAAAAGCCAAAAAGTAGTTTAAAATTTTAATAATACAGTTGTCATCATTTGCAAATAAAAATTAGGTATGGTACTTCCCTCTCCTCTTATTAACTTATAATAAACTTTATGTATTTTGATCAGCAAAATACGAGGTATTTTTACCTTAATGGAAATGTACAAATGAACAACTAGCCAGAAGAGGGTTAAAGTTCAAATTAAGCATACTTTTTAGTTTAAAGACCAACTCTCAGTCACAATCTCCACAGGAATTTTACAAGCAAGTTTTACAAGTTTTATAGACCACTGTAATACTTCTTATGCCCCCAGACAAAATCCTCTCTTAAATCCTCCTCAATAAAAAAGGAAAAAATATATATGAAGGGTCTTTAAAAAATTCGTGGAAAATTTTGTATTACCTTTCAGCTCTATTTTTCCACGAACTTTTTGAAGTTTCCTCATGTATATACAGTCATGTGCTGCATAATGACGTTTTAATCAACAATGAACTGCATATATGACAGTAGTTGGAACAATAGGCTATATCATATAGCCTAGGTGTGCAGTAGGCTAAACCATCTACATCTATATAAGTACACTCCACACACAATGACGAAATCACCTAATGGTGTATTTCTCAGAACATATTCCTGTTGTTAAGTAACACATCACTGTATAAAATAGCATTATGGGGTGAATACCACAGATTATAAAAGAACTTAGTTCATACAGGTCATTACTTAAGAATAAAATACATATATATATACATATCCCTAAAAATGTTCTCAGGATATAGTAGAGGCATTTTCCTCTCTCAGTGAAGAAATATTCACAAGTACTAGCCTTAATTTTTCTTTTTAAGGTTTCCTGTCCTGTGCATAATAGCTTATGTCACTGTTTACAAACACTAGTAAGCACCCGTGGAGTATTTCATCTACATAGCTAGCTCAGTGTGCACGCACACACTCTCTCTCCCTTTTGGCCATCTTCATTCATTCAACAGATATTTGAGACTCCACTATGTTCTAAGCATAATCCCTTTACCACCTTAAACTCCAGACTTAGTTTTCTGTGTCTGTCTCTAAAATATATAAACCACCTCAACACTCCAACTACAATTTTGTTTCACTCAGACTTATTCATTATTGTTGTTTGCAGCATCAGTTTTTTAAGTTTGTCTACACTGAATAAAATAATCCTAAGCTTCAAAACACTAGGTAGAACACAGCTAATACTTCTCTCTACAGTACCACTCCAACATTTTAAACATTAATTTAAGATAAAGATTTACACTCAAAATTTTAAAGTCTGAAAGTAATCCTAAAATAAAAATGATTACCCTCAGAAATGAAGCTATATGCCAAATAATCTATTCATTTTTGTAGATTTCAAAACAAATAACACCAGTGTTAGTCACCAATAGTAGAAATTACTTTTTTTTTTTTTTAAATCAAAGAATTCAGAATCTTGGCTAAATTAACTTTAGTCAAAACAAATGCACCGAAACAATAATTCAATTACAACACAACACTGTGCTGAGAACTGAATTTATCACTAATTTTGGCATTACTACTGGTGGTAGCAATATTGCCTTACTTTTTTTGGGGGGGTGGGTAGGGGGGCTTATTAGTCTCCTCAGACTTACCATCTGACATATCCTTAAGGACCAGATTCTCCAACTCACTCCACTCAGTGTTCAGACGTTTCACTAACTTGAATGCATTTACAGGATGCCCAACAAATCCTTCTGGATCTTTTGTCGCTGTGCTGGTTAGCCGATCTAACTTCTCTGCCCATCTACAGACGTAAGACATAAACGCTGAGTACACACACACTTAATAAGAAAAAATATAATTTAGTAAAGTACTCAGAAAAAGAGAGACTAGATTAGAGGTTTTTGAATTAAAATCATACCTACAACTTCTTTTTTTTTTTTTTTTCCTTTTTGTCTTTCTTCGTGACCGGCAACGGATCACAACCCTCAGTGTCGCGCCCGTACCGGACCGGGACCGGCTACGGGGATCGCAACCCTCGGTGTTGCTCCCGCACCTGGCTCAACCAGTGAGCGGCCGGTCTGTATGTGGGATCTGAACCCTCGGCGGGAGCGCCGCCGTGCTTCCCAAGCGGCGCACTGTAGCAGTGCGCCACCGGGCCGGCCCTACAACTTCTTTTTTAAAGTGAAATTATAAAGGCTCTTTTAAAAGCAAGATCCTCTTATGAATAAAATCTAACTTGGCAGAATCAAAATACAACTATAAGACTTTCGATTTTAGTTTTGTTTCTCTCAAATGGGTACAGTAAATGGAACCTCCCTATCTTAGTATAAGTTGTGGCTGGATCACTCTAGAAAGAGTCTAAAAACTCATGTCCCCATAGGTCCTTAAGACCAAATAACTGATTATTACAAAGCACAAATTAGCCCAACCCAAATTCAGTTACATGCTCATTTAAATCAACTTATACCAAATTTTTACATTCTGTATCTAGAAACTATAAAGCAAAAAACTGAATACTTAGCTACTCATTAAAAAGACAGGAATTATTCTCAGGTCAGGATTAACTATAAACTTGAGTTAATTAAAAATAAATTAGTATTTGTGAAAAACTATTAATTAAATAATACTAACCACACTTATCACTATAATTTATATAATGGAACTAGGAGAGAAGGATAAATACAATTGGAAAATTACTCCAGCAGGTAGCTTAACTGGGAAGATTAGAGGAGGATGGAAGATATTAGCATGACTTTTAAAAATTGTCGGTCAATTCCCCATACCCATCCATATCCTTATCTCAATCCAACTTCTTCCACGTGAATCTTGGCCCAGGCCTAACCATTGTTTTTCATGGGCTCCTATTTTAACCATTTCAACTGACTTTTTAAGACTGACAGATGTCTTTCATTTCTACTCAATGAATGTTTCAGTTTAAGCGAGAAAAGATCCAGGTGAAGTTAGTCATAGTAAGTAAAACACTTTGCTTACTTTTTTATTTGTTCTAATTTGTCCTCTTCTGCCTTAATATAATCTTTCAGAGAAGTCACTAGATCTTTCTCAGTATAGATCAAATCAGTCATCTGACCTAGAAGGGGAGGAGGGGAAGAAGATTATCAAACATGCATTTTCATTTACACAAAGTATTTTAGAATAATTTAAGAATGATCGAGAATGCTTCATGCTATGACAGGATTTAACTGGCACGAATCATATACGTTGGGGAGAATCATCTCTTTTTTTCTTTTTTTCACCAGATAAATCAAAATAAAGCCAAAAACTTTTCTTTTTCTTTTCTTTTTTTTTTTCCTTTTTGTCTTTTTTCGTGGCCGGCAACGGATCGCAACCCTCAGTGTCGCGCCCGTACCGGACCGGGACCGGCAACGGAATCGCAACCCTCGGCGTTGCCCCCGCACCTCGCTCAGCCAGTGAGCGGCCAGTCTGTATGTGGGATCCGAACCCTCGGCGGGAGCGCCACTGCACTTCCCAAGCGGCGCACTATAGCAGTGCGCCACCGGGCCGGCCCCAAAGCCAAAAACTTTTCTAATCATGTGTTCCAGTTCTAATTTTCAAGCTACTTAATTTTGCAAGCTCATAATATATTGGAAAATTGTCTTTTCGTGTACAAATTTATTTTTAAATGACAAAACAACACTATTTTCCAAGGATCAATGTGTCTTCTTCACCACTTCCCTCCTCACCATTTTTTGTTTTCGAGGCTAATTAAAATTAAATTTATATTCAATTAGGGCTGGCCAGTTAGCTCAGTTGGTTAGAGCATGGTGTTATAACACCAAGGTCAAGGGTTCAGATCCCTGTAATGGGCAGCTGACAAATTAAGTAATTAATATTCTATTTAAAACAAAAAAGTTTTAAATAATCTGTGTTATTTATAATGGGATGAGAGGACTCATCATTTTATATCCTGAAATCAAGTGTCATAAACATATAATACTTATGTTTCAGTTAGCTTTACAATTCTGTAAGGGTAAAGAATGAAGGAAAACACCTTATTTAAGACAGGTGAAGTATGCATACAGGAAAATATAAAAGGGTACATAGCAAACTATGAGGACTATTTCGGGAGGAAGGAAACATAGGGAGGTCTTACTTTCTATGTACTTTTGTTTTTTCTCCTTTTACCAATAAGCTATTTTTGTAATACTTTAATTTTTTTTTTTTCCTTTTTGTCTTTTTTCGTGTCCGGGAACGGATCGCAACCCTCAGTGTCACGCCCGTACTGGACCAGGACCGCCAACGGGATCGCAACCCTTGGTGTTGCGCCAGCACCTCGCTCAGCCAGTGAGCGGGAACCGGTCTGTATGTGGGATCCGAACCCTCAGCGGGAGCGCCGCCGTGCTCCCAAACGGCGCACTGTAGCAGTGCGCCACCGGGCCGGCCCATATTTTTGTAATACTTTTAAAGGTTCTTAAAAATTATGATATAGAGGGCCGAGCCCGTGGCACACTCCGGAGAGTGCGGCGCTGGGAGCGCAATAGCGCTCCCGCCGCGGTTCGGATCCTAAATAGGGATGACCGGTGCACTCACAGCGCTCACTGGCTGAGCGCGGTGTGGCCGGTCTCAAAAAGGACAAAAAAAAAAAAATTATGATATAGAAAAAAATAACCTGTGTTCTTAGATTCTTAAATGGAAAAAGCAGGTTGGAAAATAACGTGCAGTGGATTATGTGTACCTGCATTGAAAGGATATGCATTAAATTGTTTGCTATATACACCTACTAATGGGTAATCTTCTTTGATATGATTTGCTAAATTTTCGCTAAGTTTCTAACCTGAATGTCTATCATTTTTGTAATCAGGAAAAATTAATTAAAAGAAAAACAAAATTGAATTAAAAAACAAGAGAGAGAAACGGCCTTTTAGAGGTACAGGAAGTGAATCAATACTTCAATATTTGGGAATACACTGAATTTGTTTTTACTGATTAAGAAACACTAAAATTGGAAATTTTTAAATGCAAAAATAACATAAACCAAAAAACATTAAGACTTACCAATTGAAGTAAAAAAGCCTGGATGGGCCAAAGATGGGGGAAGTAGAATCCCTACAATTAAAATACACCAGATCATCTCGGAGGACTTAATTTTACAGGTTGACACACCTACAAGAGAAATACAGCCATTACTTAAAAAAAAAAGGGGGGGGGGGGGGAAAAAGCCCTTACCTACTTTTCCTATAAACAAAATGAAAGGCACACTCGAAGGTTGCACATAGAATGAATGTTCATTCCTGTAAATTTATTTAATAATTAAAATACACCAGATCATCTCGGAGGACTTAATTTTACAGGTTGACACACCTACAAGAGAAATACAGCCATTACTTAAAAAAAAAAGGGGGGGGGGAGAAAAAGTCCTTACCTACTTTTCCTATAAACAAAATGAAAGGCACACTCGAAGGTTGCACATAGAATTAATGTTCATTCCTGTAAATTTATTTAATAATAATAGCTACTCTCTTATTTTTCATATAATTAAAATACTACATTGATATTTCATATTAGAAAAAAACATACATGCTTAGCACCTGATAGTTTATGCTTAAAAATTCAACCTGAGTTTTTCTCCTTAGTTACTATTACAATTAGAATAATTGAATAGTAGTGGCTCTTTTATATAGCCTGAAAAATGAGACTTCTCTGTGATCTAGATCTAAATCTTGAATTTCCCATAAAAATATTCCACTTTATTAAGACAGCTTAATTTAAATATTACCAATACATTTTAAAGATATTAGAATATGTTTTAAAGGAGAAAAAAGATTTCAGAGATTTCTGATGAATCCTTAAAATTCCTAACCGGTTCTATCTCTTTCTTATATGGATTTAAATTTTAAAATAAATTCAATTAAAAGTTGTAGATTTTGGGGTGATGAAAATGTTCTAAAATTGACTGTTGACTGATGGTTGAACAACTCTGTGAAAGTACTAAAAACCATGGAATCATGAATATAAAATGGGTTAATTGTATGGTATATGAATTATCTCAATGACACAGTTATTTTTTTTGAGTTATAGAGAATCCAAAAAGAATAAACAGCCTGTCCATTTAAACTAGTAATTTCTCTCAAAGGACTCAGTTTTCTTCCTCTTTTCTACTTTGTTCTATGTAAAAATCTTAGCCTACTACATAGCTGTGGCTTTTTTCTTTGTTTTTTTAAAACTGACAGCAAAGCCCTTCTGTCTTTTTTCTCTATCCCTGGTAGCATTCTCTTTTCTAGTAAGTATTTTTCATGGCTGATGAGAATATCAACTAACCAACAGAAAGGCTTTACCTTGCTTTCCCAGATGCCCTGCTAGCTCTCTTCTCTTGCTCCTTCTCCATCACAAACACGGACTTTAAGCCTTTCTTATTACCTTACAGGAGAATAAGTTACCATTACAGTACCATTTGCCCCAGTAACAGGCTCCATTGGTTACTCTGACTACTTACCCTGTTCCTCTTTGGGCAGGTACCTCTGACTCTTCCCATGCAACTTCACTTAAAATAGGGTCAAGTCCACATTGAAAGCTCCCTATTCCACCACAAAAGCTGAAAAATAACTCCACTTTCCCCCTAACTAGAATTTCAACAAAAATAGACTACCACAAAAACTGACATTCTGGAAGTACTCCTAAATCTCCTCCCTTAAGTTTGCTGTAAACTTCCAGATACTTCCAGAACCACACAGTAGTGAAACACACTGCTCTCTTGGCTGCCTTACAGTGATTTTGGGAAGGCTTCTAGAATGTAGCAGATGCAGACACTTCCTCTCCTGGGCTCCTGCCAAAGCACAAGGCTTTTCAAAACCCTGGACTGTCAGAAAAGTCTAGAATTTTCTCATTGTTTAAACAGATTTCTGTCATAATTTTCTTCATGAATAAATGCTATTTCCAGAAAATACAAATGCTTTCACTGTACTAACAGAAGGCTAATCATAAATGTCTAAGCTTTTAACTCTGATGAGAAATTACATTTGTCACATAAGAGGTTATTTTCTCATTGCTAAAATATATTTTATCGCTAAGTTTCTTTGTCACCTTTCATTATATTCAAACCTCACAATGAATCAAGAACCTACAGAAATTTAGAAGCTTAAGATGGTGTTTTTCTTCAAATTAGGTAGCTTGAAAATTATATTTTAAGAATAGAGCTTATATAAAAATACAAAGCATTAATTATATAAAGACTAATATACCTTTCTTACATCATGCTTCAAAATAAATTACAGACTGATTAAACAGTTATCATCAACAAATCAAAAGAAAACAATAACAAAAGAAAAGTTACCAGATCTCTGAAAGAGAATTTCTAAACTTAAAAATGAGACAAAAACCTATCAAAAGTCAGATAGAATTTAAATGCACAAAATAATTTAACTTTATATGTAAAAAAAAAACAAAAACCCAAACTATAAACTACAAACTAGGAAACCACTGAAAGAAAATAGAGCTCTTTTAAGAAGCTCATACAAATCAATAAGAAAACCACTAAGATGCTAATAGATAAGCAGATAAAGAATTCAGAAAGTCACAAAGAGAAACTATAGTTAGCTAAAGAAAAAAAAAATGCTCAAACTTATTAGTAATTAATGACATCAAAAATTATCCCCATACCGGCCAGCCACCAAAAATAAAAACTGAAATAAGATAGAATTTCCCCCATCAAATGAACAATTCAACAAATTTAACAAATTAACAATTAAAATTATCTAATCATGATGTTATATGTCAAGAAACTTAAAATGTAAAATCATTTAACTTATGAAGTTAAGTGAAAAAACAAGATTTAAAAATTAACATCGTAGAACCCTGGTGGACTCTATATTGAATGAGATTAAGTTTTCAATACCCTGACAGAAAGCTATAAATAAATTAATATTGATCAAAATAAAGAAAAAAAAGCTAATCACAATATGGTCATAACTATGCAAGAAAATATGCAGATGAAAATCACCAAAATGTAATTGTCTCTAATAGCAGATCATGAGGTGATTTTTTCCTATATCTCTGTATTTTTTGGATGTCCTATAGTATATTTGTTTTTGTAATGACAAAAAAAAATGAACTTTATACAAAAGAATAAACCTAAAACATCAACTCCCACATTAAGGCACCCTAAACCTCTTAAGAAGTGGTTAACTACACTGTAACAAAAAAGTAGCTAACAAATAAGCTTTTGACATTTTCCATTTTCTAACTCCACAAGCCTCCAGATTTCTCTTTCTCTCCTTCAAAGATATTTAAGCTTATGTGAAAGCAACCTAATTATCGAGTAGTGAAATACATAGCCAGAGTGCCATACTTTCCCATTCTCTTTCCTCCTAGAGAAAGACATATGTCCCAGGCTAGGCCAGTCATTGACCCTCATCCCCATAAACATAATGGTTGAGGGAGGGGCTTGTGAATGGTAGAAAACTCTTTCTGCAGTTGCTAATCTCAGGGGATGTGAATTTGGAGCTGCTCTGTGACCATCTTTCCTACTTACCTAGGATATATAAGCAGGACAGGACAAAGTCATACAGAGACAAGCAGTTCCAAACACCAGCATCCTGATTCTTTGCAACTGTTGCTTTGAATCTGTGAACTACCCCAGTAATTTCCCAACCCAGCTAAGGAAGCCTGTGAATTTCCTTTTTGTTAAGCTAGTTCAAGTTGAATTTCTGTCACCTTCAATACAAAGTTCAGACCCATACAGCATTAGTCCAAACTACCATACCATGCCAACCCAAGCCAATTAATAAAAATGAAGACAGACCTGTATAGCAGGTTCTCAAACTTTGGCTAATATCAGAATCACTTAAAGGTGTGAAGTGTCCAGATAATCTACACACATTTCCAAGTAATGCTGATGCTGCCAGTCTGGGGATCACACACTGAAAACCTCTGAATACAAATACCTCTTGAAATTATGCAAAAGGTGCTCTGCCTTTAAAATAGATTTTACTTCAACTTATCTTTATAAAAACGTAATTAAATTTCTAATTACTCTAGAGAATGGTTCCTCTAATCTGTTTTAATATCATGTCTCATTTATCCACATTCATTCAGAAACCTTATGGGGCATGTAAATAGGCAAACATACCTTTATCAATGACAGGTTTTAAAAACATAATGGTTTTCTTATTTATGGTGTCTCACTTTCATTTATTTCCACCTGCATTCAGCTAGCAGCTTACAAAGCAAATCATTACAGAGTATCTAATTAAGAGTTGGGTATCCCTAAAAGCCATTACAGCTTTATCAAAAATAGCGATATAAATGCCTCCTATTCTAAATCTTCAAACAAGCTTGAAAAGAATTTAAATTGGTCAAAGTGGATGCAATCGCCTTTAAAAGAAAGACAAATCTCAGACAGCATCCCTGAGAAGACTTGCCTTAACTAAAAAAAAAAAAAAAAAAAAAAAAAAAAAAAAAAAAAAAAAAAAA